TTTACCCCCGTATATGGGGTTTCTTGTCCCGGGCAATCGCTCTTTGTGGAGCAGGCGCAGTCGCAACAATTCCCGGACCCGGCCCAGAGGTACACGACCTCAATCGTGTCGTCCACAGCATCCGAACGTCGGAACAGAGTGCCCTGGCTGCCAATCTGGCTCCCTAACTCCAGTCCTCGATGTCTGGCTGCTGTCTGGTACCCGGTTCTGGAGTCGGAGATTTGGAGGTTAACTGCGGTACAAAGGATTGCCGAAAATTATCACTGCCACACAGAAAAACGGAGGCTGGGGTTATTACTGGAGTTTATACGCAGTTTTGGAAATCTTAAAATTTGTGAATTTTTGGACTAGATTTGGGATTCGGGAGCTATTAAAATTTTAAGAAATTTTATAGCAAAATTAAAGGGAAATTTAAGCTAATCAGGAATTCTAATAAAAAACTGCAGTATATTTAAATTTTTTAAATTGCTGTTGAAAACTATGCTACAAAATTGTATAAGGGAATTTTGTTCCTTGAATATTCATTTTGCATACATTTAGGCGTTTTTATAATTTATTAAAATTTCAGAGAAAGTAAAGAACTTAAATCTTATATAATCTTATTTAAATTATATCAAAATTTATAGAAATTTTATAGAAAAATGTAATCAAAATTAAAGCTATTCAGGAATGCCACCAAAAGTAGAAATACAATCAAATTGCTGTTGAAAAGTATGCTACGAAATGTTATAAAGGAATTTGTTTCCTTGAATATTTTATTGCATACATTTAGGCGCTTTTTAAAAAATTATTAAAATTTCTGAGGAAGCAAACAACTTGAATCTTTAGTCTTTAGCTAAAAGACTTTTATTATTAAATTATCAGGACTCTAAATTAACAAGTGAATGAAATCATGAATGTCCTAGCATGAACGTAGTAAATATATATATGTATGAACCTGTAGTATGTGTAGTATGTGTAGAAACTCCCAAATTCTGACTGACTGACTGGGATGCTGCTGCTGCTACTGCAGTCGCACAAGTTTTTTGGAGGGGCTCCACCAAAGGAGACGCCGAAAGCCGAGCAGCAGGAAGAGGAACAACAGAGCCGAGACCAGGAGATGGAGGAGCTGCTGCTGCTGCTGATGCTGCCGCCGCTGCTGCTGCTGCAGCAGCCTCGGAATCAGAATCAGCCAACGACATGCGCAATTTGTAACACAAACCCAGTCTCTGCCAGCGCCCAACAAACTTTCTGCATTCTGCAGTAAAACTGCAAAACGGGGGAAGGTGTATTGGGGAAATGGGGATCCCGAAAGCCGTGACAGTGTATCCGGGACCCGTATATTCCCTGTGTATTCCGGGGGAGGTCAAGAAACCGTGGGGAAATGCGACTCTCTCGCCCGGAGAGGAGAGCTTCGGCTTCTCTCTGTCTCGGTTGCTTATTTACCCAAAATCGTTGAAAGAAAAAAAAAAACAATGAAAAAAGAAAAGAGGAAAAATCATCTGGTTTTTGGTGGGCATGGTCAAGGCAGGTCGGGCGGCGACTGTCTGGATCTGAATGCAAGCATATAGCTTCTGGTTAGACCGTACATATGTACGGTACATGGGTTGTGGCTGCGACTCTTGTTTCTGGCTTCTATGCTATATTCCTTCTCCCCAGACATAAAGGAATCATAAAACTGTAAAATGTTATTATTCAATTTTATGCCGGGAAATAACCATGAGACATTTTCTTTTTCGCGAATTTTCTGGGACTAAGGATGGGGGCGTAAGTAGCCGAAATTAGAAGAATTATAATTGACAAGTTTTAAAGGCTTCAGAGTTTGTTTTATTAATTTAAGAAAGTTTTAAAGAAATTTATAAGGAAAAGTAATAATAACTTTTTGGATTAGTATAACTTTAAAATGACTTCATTAAGGAAAAGGGGTTTAATAACTGGGAAACTACAGGGGAAGACATTGCAATTGCACGGGTTTTTTAAATTATCTAAAAAAGCTGTCTGTTAAAATAACTGTTAAATAATAATAATAATCTATTAACAATTATTAATATTAATAATAATAGTAATAACAATAATATTTGTTAATAGATTATTCCATTTTAATAATAATAATAGATTATTATTTTTAATTATTATATTAAAAATAATGATATTTGTTAATAGATTATTATTATTAATATGGAATAATTAAGAAATTAAATTGTTTTGGCTTGCAGATCAATGTGAAAAGTAAATTAATAATTATAATAGATTTGTTGAGCTTAATTAGTTTATATAGAAATTAAGCAAAATAATAAATTGGATATTTTAATACTCTTTATAATCAAAATCAAAAAATATTAGTACAAAAATAATTGAAATAAAAAGATAATAAAAATTTAATTTAAAAAATTTACGTTTTTATTTATCATCAAAGAGAAAGTAGTAATAAATCAAGAAATAAGAATTACAATATCTGAAAATATGAATATTAAACCAATTAAATAACATTCCCCTCACTTACCTTGCTAAAATAACCAACAATATGGCATCCATCCACATCGGCCAGTGTCATGATGTAGAACAGAAACGGCTCCACGTCGTAGTAGAGGGTCTTGTGGTCCAAAAAGAACTTGGCCAGAAGGCAGAGATGCTGGCAATATTGCTTGTACCGCTTACCATCCACCTGCCATACCTGCAGCTTACCCTTCCGGTAGATCTCATCCCCCGGCGGATGCCGCCAGACGCACTTCTCCGCATGCCGCTTGATGCCCGTCTCCGATTTCTGGTAGCGCAGGCAAAACTCACAGATATACATCTTGGGCAGGCGGGCGGCATCATCCGGATAGGGGGATTGATACCACACCTTCATCTTGTACTTGCCCATGCTGATGTATCTGAAAGATGGGAGTGTAATTAATATTCAAAGCCTGTGTGTATTTACGAGAGATTCACTCACTTGATACCCTTGCCCACAGGCAAATCCTTGAGCTCGTCTTCTATCCTTTCGGAGGCCTGGGCCTGAGCCTCACGAAACAATTGCAGGTCGTAGTCGGGCACCAGACCGGATAGATTCGGTTCACGGTCCTCGTCCGTGCAGTCTTTTTCAAGTTTAACCTAAGGAAAATGTATTAATTAGAAAGTTTTTAGGTTTAATTCGAGTTTCCCCACCTTTGAGTCCATAAAATTGTTATTGGCCGGCCTAAAGTTGGCCCTTGATTCACGTATCTTGGCCAGAAATTCACGCTGCTCGGGCGTCAGAGTCTTGACTTGATTGGGTTGCTGATTTCCTGGCGCCGTCACAATGTTCACGGGCATTTTTAATCGCTGCTCATTGCGTAGCTTTCGCTCGTTAGCCCGCTCCTTGCACTCGGAGGCGGACATATTGTGATAGATGGGACAGGCTTCGGGCAGGAAATGCCTATCCAAATTGCCACTCAGGTGTCCGGATGAGTCACAGCCCTCGATGGGGCACTTCTTCTCCGTCTGTGTGATGGGCGAAACGGGTCGAGACTTGATGGAGCTAAGCACTCCACTGCTTATCCCAATGGACTCCTTCTTCACCTTGCTTTTGCTGGCATTGGAATTCAAATTCGAGGTTGTAGCTATGGGTTTTTTGGCAGGACTCTTCGAGATTAGTACTTTGTCATCGTCAAGGTCGCCATCGGACTCGGAATCAGTCTCCTGTTTGGGCTGCTGCTTGGATCTCCTCATGCTAAGAGATCGGGTGAGTTTTCTCATTGGATTGGCCTTATCTTTACGCTCCTCCTCGCTGTCGGAGTTTTGTATTTTGGCGGGTCCACCTGCTCTTTTACCTGTTGATTATAAAAGTACATAAAATCTGCTTCATTTTGGGAAATCATAATATTTACCCTTGGCACCTCCTCCCTTTGCTGGCTGCGAGCTGTAGGAATTGCTGGAATCACTGCCCTCCGAATCGCTCACCGAACTGGAATCATCTCCAGAATTGGAGCCGCTCTCGGAGCCCGAGCTTCCGTCACTGCTAATCGCTGGTCCATTTCCCCCGGCACCACCATTTTTCTTGGCCGGCGGCAGTTTTCCTCGGATCTGTTTCGGCCTCACCGTGCTGGCCATCTTAACGGGTATCTTCCGGCCGTTCTTTACGATTTTCATGGAGTCATCCGTGCTGTTGGAGGAGGAGGAAAGCGAGGGTCGCTTGCCCTCGCCGTTCTCGCGGGAACGGTTGTTGGCGTTTCCATTTCCCGAACGCTGAGGAGGATTGCTTGGTTTGTTTACTAGATTGCTGCTGGTTTTGTTGACGGCAGCGGGCGGTTTCCTTCGTACCGTAGAAGCCGCAGCTGTCGCCGTGACCGTGGAGCTTCCGAGAGAACGTGCGTTCTTCTTGGCCGGCGGTGCATCCTCATCGTCATCGTCATCGCTGGATAAGTGGCTAGGAGGAGGATTGGGCGCTTTTCTGCTGGTATTTGCTTTAGGCTTATCTTCCGCCGTGGAAGCCTCTGGAGGAGGTGCCTTTCTTCGCGCCGCATTTCCGGTGCTCGCTTGTTGTTGCTGCGCCTGTGGCTGGGATTTCGAGGAGGTGGAATTTGTGGATGGCTTCGTCGTCTCCTCCGGCGTCGCACTGCTGGAATCTGTGTCCGAGCTGCTGCCCGTGTCGGAGCAGCTGGTGGAGCCGCTGCTGGTGGAGCCCGATTCAGAGCTGCTGCTGCCGGAGTCCAAGGCCATTTCTTAAGCGCAACAAAAACCTATCAATTTTCGTACACAAAACTCCTTGTTTTTTTTATTGTTTTGATTAGAGTGACCAGAGTTGGAGGCGATATATCGATTGCCGTAGCGTTTACCAACACTAACGAGAGATGGAAGAAAGACTTTAGTATTTAATGTTTATACCAAAAGAAGTTAAATATTAATTTAATTAAAATTAGTTAATAAATAATTTAGAACTAAGAATTCAATAAATTAAATTTTAAAATAAATTTCTCTTGAATCTCTTCCAGCTTATGGTATATTTTTGTATATGTTCCCGAGGCTTATTTGGTAAATTTTTACATTCGTGGCAAACGGGCACACTGCTAATAAGATTTTCTTTCATTTTCAAAAAACATCAACAAAAAACCCTTTTTAATACAATTTACCATGTACAACGTAGACTGCATTGCCATTAAGGACATCAAGCCGGGCCTGAAGAACATCAATGTCATCTTCATCGTGCTGGAGGTGGGCGTGGCCACCGTTACGAAGGAAAATCGGGAAGTGCGAAATTTCAAAGTCGGCGATCCCACAGCCTGCATTAATGTCTCCATTTGGGACGAGCCGGGAAAGCTCATTGCACCCGGCGACATTATAAGACTTACAAAGGGCTATGCTTCCATTTGGAGACACTGCCTGACTCTGTACTCCGGCAAGAACGGCGAGGTCTTCAAGATTGGCGAATTCTGCATGATTTTCAACGAGGGCCTTAACATGAGCGAACCAAAAAGACCGGAACAGCAGGCGGTGGCCAATGCCGGCGGAGCAGTGCCAGTTGGACTGCCAGCGGGAAGTGGAGCACCTGTGGCGGCCGCTGCATCTGGTGCATCCACTGCCCAGAGCCCAGCAACAACGGCACCAGCTTCTTCTGCGTCCAATACGCCTCAGACGGGCGGAAAGCAGGGCACACGCGGCGGAAGAGGAGGCGGAGGACGTGGCGGCCTCAAGGGCGACCGGCGATAAAGATTAAGGGGATTTTCATAGGTTTAAAGGGGAATTAGAAGTACAGAAAATAAGAAGATTGATTAAATATTAGTGACTTGTTTTACAAAATCGGACCTGTTTCCATTTTTAAACTTTAATATAATTAAAAAACAACTTGAGATTCTGCAAATCTGAAATTTTAGAGGAATTTATAACAACAGTAATACTATCAGTAGCTATAAAATTAAGCTATGTATGTTTAGTTTACTGGACTTAAAAATATACAGCTGTGTTCACGGAAATAGCAGTGCCCAACGACCTGCACGTTTAAGATCGGAAAATCCTGTTACAAACACTATTTTCATAATTTTTTTTTTCATAAAAGCTTAGTATATTTAATTATTAACAATACCACAATCATTTAATTTAGGTAACATAAACCCTTTAGAAGATATAGCTAATATCAACAAAAAAGGTCTATATTATGCCGATCATTGAAATAGCAGTGAAAAACTAAAATTCTTCATAAATTTAAAAATATCGTATAAGAAACCTATTTCTTCTTAAATTCTAATTGACTATGATCTAATAATTTGTTAAATAGCTATCATAGCCTCATACCTGGGTGGCAAGGAGTCCACCAAGTCTTAGAAACGCTTGAGGGGAATATGGCCTCATTCCTCCTGCACAAATTGCCAAAGCTGCGGCTTAGAAGTCGGAAACTTCTTTAATACGTAGCCCTTGATGTCCCCCATAAGTTTTCGATCGGATTTATATCCGGGGACTGTGCAGGCCATGGCATTGCATCCACTTTTTCATTAAGAACCCACTCCTTGGCCACCTTGATGGTATGATTAGGGTCACTGTACTGTGGAAATGTCCAAATTAATGGCATATTTTCCTCAGGATACGGCTGCAAGACAGTTTTTAATATTTGGACATAAACATAATGGTCTTTGATCCGACAGATCATATATACGGGACCTAAAACGTTGTATGAAAAGTATACCCATACCATGATTTTTAGGCCACCATGTTTTACTGTCTTCAGCGTGTGGTTTGGGGGGTACTATGTATTTGGAGGTCGACGGACATATTGTCTTGTCCTATTCCACCAAATAAAACCAGTTTGGAGTCATTTGTCCAAAGGATATTACGCCATTTGAATAGTGGCAGTTCAAGTGGCTATTGGCGAACTCCAATCTGGCCTTGATATGCCTTTAACCAAGCAGTGACATTTTCCATGGACTTCGCGAATCTAAAATTTATTCAATAAGTCCCCGGCGAATGGTCCCATGACTGATTCCCATGCCAATTCCCGCTCATATATCCCTAGAGGATGCAAAAGGACGAGCTTTGCTAAAGCGAAGTACGCGTCGAGCCAGTACAATTGTGGTTTTGCGAATCGTACCTCGGTTTTTTTGGGTTCGGTTCATATTTTATGATTTATAAACTATTCTAAAATAACAATTTGAAAGATTTGGAGTCTCTTTACATGTTTTGCCCTTCTTTCTAGGCTAAGTTCTCTGATACCTTTCTCTCATGGAGCAGTGAGGTCCTGCGCCCACTAAAAATTTTTTTTTGCGTTGTAAAGGTGTATTATATAATAAACTATAATAACGACCGTAATTTAACTCATTTTTTACAAAATTAATAGAAATTTCGGCACTTTTTGCGAAAGAAAATTAAATACTGCTATTTCAGTGATCGGCCAAAACGAGCTGCATATGTGAAAAAATATCAATAAAACATAAAAATAGAGCAAATCTAACGGAATTTTTTCTCGATTCTTATCTTTATGTTCCATTTAACAAAAACAATGTGCAATAGATCAGCTTGCAAAAAGGAATATGTACAAAAAAAGGTTTTGAAGTTGTTCCCTCTGTCGCACTGCTATTTCCGTGAACACAGCTGTAAGTTAAAAGACTTACTTTTAAAATTGGAAAAATATGTCTTAAACTTATAAAGCTTTCACCAAGGATTTTACTTATAATTTAAACAATGAAAACTTTAAATAAACAATTCTACTGAAGTTGTTATAAATTTTACGACAGAAAGATAAAATCTTACAACCTTTAAGCTGAAAATTATAATTTCTTTTGTTATGTTTGTAAAAATAATATCCTACTAGAAAATTCACGAATTTTAAATATTTTAGCAGATAATTAAAATATTATAAAAATTGGTTTGTACAGATATTTCCTAAAACTTGTAAAATACGTTTGAAAATGGAAACAGGTTTGCAATCGCTATCCCAAATGCTTAACATTTTTTATATTTTTATAAGAAAAACATGTACAAAAACCATTCAAAATCCCATAAGTTGTGTCATTAAATTGCAATAAATATAAAAAGAACAAAAAACCACATCCCAACTTATGTAAAATGTTGTATTTATGTTTTATTTGGCAAAGTCAAAGACACAAATAAGAAATCCAGAGAGCATTGTCGAGCATTTTAAGGATGCGACATTTACAAAGCGATAATTATTGTATTTTTTTTTGTGCGTGTGTGTGTATGTGTGTGCGTGTGTGAGTGGGTTTTGTTGTTGTTGTGAGTGTGCGTGGAATTTAGCTTAAGCTTAATATCCTCTGGCGATCCTCTTAGGCCTTCTTCTTCTTCTCGTAGTAGGCCTGCACGGCTTTCAGCAGATAACCAACCTCCTCGACGGTCTTGATCTGATAGTTGGCATAAGTCTTCAGAGTGGGCAGCTCGGACACACGGAAGGTCTTGCCGATGCCATGCAGCACCTTAATGGCATCCTCGTCTGTGGTGTCATCACCAACGTAGATGATCTTTAGGTTCTTGGCCCAGTCGGCCTCGAATTGCTTTTCGAGGATCATCTTGGCGCCCTCACCTGGAAGGGGAAAAAGGGTAATTTATAATATTTAATTATTGATATATATATTTTAAAAATTATTAATATATAAGGTATTTTCTATAAATAGCTAAAAATATTAAACAAACATCCTTTTCGGATATTTTTCCTATAAAATCGAATTACCGATGATTTATCGACGTAAAATCCGATATTTTTCTAATTAATTGGCTTTGATATTCAGTGCCTAAGTATTTTTTTTATACAGATTATGAATCCTTAAAGTATAATTTATTTTGCACCTTCTAATATATATTTTATTTATGGAACTCATTGGATATTCCATATGGTATACTATTATCTAAATTTATGGTTAATTTTCTATATCCTGCGGCGATAAATGCCAGATTAAGCTAAGAGTTTATCAATTCTAAAACCCATTATCATAAATAAGTTAAGCAACTGATAAACTAAAAATATATACAATTAGACTGATTCTCAACAAGTGTTTACAAATATATATTTGGCTTATTGATTATTTTGTGTACCTTATTTTCATTTTTTTTTCATAAGAAATACTTTTTAATGACCATATTTCCATTTCAATTGAAAATGGATGCTTTAGTGAATATTTAATTAATATAAATATAATTAAATAAATTAATTTATTTTTACGTAACTTTAAGAATAATTTATTCAAACAAACATTCTTTATTTCTAAAACAATGCAACCTCCGGCTAAACAATGCCCCAATTAATGTGGAAGCCATGTGGATTTTATAAAAAAAAAACGTTTTGCACTGCTGGAACTCATCCAAAATCGCTCAATAAACAAGCAAAAAGAAGCCAGGCAGGCAAACAATATTTTCAAATGTCTAGAATTCCGCTCGGCACACATATTAGATCATATAAACCGCTCCGCTTGCAACCGGACCGAATTTTTCCTAGCCATCCATCCACCCAGGCCTTCTTCTCCTCCTCCTCCGGTTCCCCCAAATTATTTTTAGGTGTCTTCGTGGGCGGATCTTCTCTAGTTTTCGGTTCGCATTTTGGTTTACCCAAGTAAATGAACTGAATGTTTGCCTAAAAATGATTTTAAAATCATTTAGGCTCTCGGTACGCAGTAAAAGTCAGTACATAGAACATTCGTCTACCTCAGCTTTTGATTATTTCTTTAATTATGTTATTTGGCGTTTGCTATTGCCTGGCGATTAACGCCACATTTTCATTTAATTGGTGACGCAGTCTATGAGTAGCAGACACCAGGGGCCTACCCTCTAACCCCCTAAAGGCCCCCTAAAGAGCAACATTGCACTTTTCTCTTCTTTTTCAGACGGCACCAACAATCTGCTCTGTTCGAGAGTTTAATTTTTTCAAAAAACCAAAAAAAAAAATGTATCAAAAAAATATTTCGAATTTTTTTTTTTTTTTTTTCTTCTTTGCAATAATTTTGTTCTGGCTGCTACAAATTTATTGCCTTTGGAGGCGTACACACAATCATAATTAATTTTTGATTTTCACACGAGAATTTATATATCTGTATATGTTCCTTGTGTTTTGAGCGACAATTTTTGATGTGAATGGTCTGGGGAGAGCATTTCTAGAGGACAGAGGCGACAAGTGGCTGCCATAAATCACAGCTGGAGGGTATACGAAAATTTCCTATAGAGAGGTTTCTATACGGGAATGCTCAAATATTTATGATATATTTTTGGGGATTTTAATGGGGTTTTTAAAAATAATGTTCTATAAATTATCGTAGATATTAGACAGGATGTCATCAATTTTCAATGAATTATTTAAGTTCTTAAAAGAGTTTGATGATCATATTTTTGCATTACAAAATTTACTTGAACATTTTCCAGTTGAATTTTGAGATATATTTTATAAATACAACCCCATATATCTTTGAAGCCATGCATCGTTAGCTGAAAACGTCATCAAATTAAATTCGTTTTGCTTCAGTTTGGCTTCATTCATCTTTAGAAAAAATTCTAGAATACTAAAATAACCAAAATCTTCTTCGAAAATGAAAACTCTTGCTACAAAATATTGTGACAAGCGAAGTGATTTTTGGTGAAACGAAAGCGAAAACTGGTGTCTCTTTGAGAAATTACAAAGATTTGTTAATTTATCATAAGGAAAATCGGGCGAGTGACTGACTATATATAAGCGACGACAAAAATATATAGTTTTAGGCGCGCTTTTGACATCAGTTTGGCCTGCGGGTTGTTTTGTCTACCGAAACATTTTTTAAATATATGTATATATATCTACTAGATATATCTTAGAGATTTTAATTTTGTCAGATTTTTGTGAGTGCTACAGTGTGTGTGTGAAATTTTTCCCAGAAAGACGCCCACGTCTAAATTCCCATCGAGGGTTATATGTATATAGAGAAAATAAAAAGAAATTTGGCAATAATTAAATCATCGAAGCGTCGAGTCGAAAATCGAATTGTTTCGAACAGGTGCCGAAGTGCGGAAAAGCTGAAAAGGAATGGGATGCCTTTGGGGACAGAGCGACAGACAGACAGCTCACCAAAACGGATGGCAACAGTTGGCAAATTGTTTAACGATGACGGCTATATTAATAGTCCGAAACGGATCGGATCCCTTGGGTTGCTATACTTTCTCCCACTAACCTTTGTCCCAGTTGACGCGGGGCTTGCCCTCCAGAGCGTAGGGGGTCTCGATCAGCTGGAAGCCATGAGCCTGAATCAGAGCCTTGGCCTCGCCAATGAGCTTGGTCTTCAGTTTGTCGGTGACGCCCTTGTAGTGATAGGTCACCGAGATCTTCTTGTCCTCCACCCAGGCACCGGAGCAGACGACCTATTGAAGAAATAAATGAAATTATTTTATGCTAATTAAATTATGTATAGATTAAATTATTAGAAGTCTATTAAAAATTAAGTTCAGAAATTTTGAGGCTCTCTCGTTATATTTTAAATATTAATTAATGCATAATAAATCACGAAAACATTATTTATAATGTAGAAAATTCCTTAAATAATTTATTTATATTTTATAGTTCAAAAAATGTGAAGGAAAAAGTTAGTTCATATTGAAGAAACCCTTCTACAACACTTGAAAGTTTTATTTGTGCCAGAAAACTAAGATTTCCCATTAATATTATTCAATATTCATTAATATTATCACTTGAAAGTTTAACTATTTTATGTTATAAATGTAGGAAATATTTTATATTCCTTTTTATAATAAAAATGTATGTAAATAGCACTCATGAAACACCATTTATTTATATATTCTAGAAGATCTTTAACGAGTTATTTTAAAATTTCAACTTTTGTGAGTCTTTTCTGACTTTAAAATGTTCAAAAACTTATTGTCATGCACTTCTAACTATTTTATTTCAACCAAATAATATTTTGTGGGCACTTCAACATCCTTTTCCCCTTCAATTCCAAACTAAAACCCCTAAAAACCCCTTTAATAAAATCACCCTCCTTACCTTCTCCTTAAGCTCAGCCACCAGTTTGTTGTGCTTCTCCAGCAGCTCCTCGGGCATTTCAATCTTGAACTTCTTGCCGGAAGGATACTCCACCTCCAGGCCATGGTTGCCGGCATAGGTGACATTGGGGAACTTAAGGTGGTTCTTGATCTCGCTCAGTTCGCGGCCAGAGAAGACAACCATGAAGATCTTGTCATTAGCAGCCAGTTTCTTGATGTTAATTTCCGTATCCTTGGGCATGACGGACAGCTCCTCGGTGAGGGGAGCCAGGGTGCCATCGTAATCCAGAAGCAGGGCAACCTTATCGGTTTCGGGGTTGATGAAGCTGCAATCGCGGGGGGATTAGGTCCTGGAATATTGCAACTCCCCTGCAATCCCTGTGCGAAACTCACCCCTCGAGGGCCTTGACATAGTCCTCCTCCTTCTTCAGCAGCGGGGCCTTCTTCTGCTCAGCCATTTTTCTCTATATATATGTAACTAAGAGGTGTACGGATTTGTATTGTATCTACCGGATATTGCGCGCCGTGCTGGACGTTCCTCGACCGATTTAATACTAATGACCAGCGATCCTCAGCAGCCACATATCGCCTGTGAATCTATAAGTATACGCGATCCGAGCACGCTCTCATTTCGCTTCACTCTCTCTTTTTTTCTCTCTCTGTATGGCTGAGATTGTGGCAACTCTGGCCCCGTACGTTGGCCAAGTAATTCCCACAATATTTATGAGGCATATGCGCATAAAAAAACACATTCTATAATGGATCTTTGGCTGTATTTAGAGGGATGTATATATGTATTATACACACAAGCAGAGTCTATCTATATACCCACGATTTTTGGTTTTCTGGGGGATGGGGGAGCATATAGTCTGTAGTATAGTATATATGGTGACGATGTCTTTGATGCACCTTTGTTTGAGGTCGTTTTTGTTTTGGAAGTGCCTTAGTCTCTCCTACCAACATGACACACTTTGTGGCGACAAAATTAGTTGGATTTTCTTTAGTTTATATTTTTGATTCACAAAACAACTGAGTTTTAATTGCTTGAATTTGTAAAATATTTGTGGATTTAAGAAGCGGAATATCTTTTGAGTGAATCGATGTTCCTTGCTTAAAAACGTATTCATTAAATTATCTATTTATTTCCTTTTGATCTTCAAACGAAGACCGATTGCTGGATGTGTCTGTGAAAAGATTAATGAACAATTTTGTATCGGACACTCTGGGAATCAACAACAATATTTATTTACCGGATTATCCAAGTGGTGTTAACCAAATTAATCTTGACCTGGTTCTTTAAATTCATGAATTTATACGAAATATTTGCTATTATATTAAAAATGTGATAGTTTTGAGTTAAAAATGTGGCATAAAGTCTATTTAAATAACAATTTATAACGGAATATATATTTATACATCATTTATTAGTTTTTTAATTTTTAATATTTATTTTAAACTAACTAAAAATATACAATTGCTTTAATATTTCTTAATATAACACTTCAAATTCTAGTATTTTTAGTTAAAATAAAGTTTAAACTGTTTATAAAAAATTCATAAATTCTAGGAAACATAAACCCCAGCTATCCATTTGAGTAGATCGGTCATCAGTGCCTGTTTGGGCAATCGGAAATCAGCAAAAGTCTGGATCTGATCGTCTGCAGCAATTCTAAAAGAGCGGCCCAAGCCTCTGAGAACCTTTAAAAATAAGAAAAAAATATATATTGTTATATTTAAATTAAAATATAACAATAATTTCCTGTGTAATTATAAATAAACTCACTCTCATGGCATCTTCATCGGTGGTGTCATCTCCGGCAAATACCACACTAACTTCCTGTGCCCAATTCTCACCGAATTTCTGCTTTAGAATATACAAAGCTGCCTCTCCCTTGTTCCAGTTTACCGGGGGCTTAGCCTCTATAGCTTCATGGGCCTGATTTGCTCTGAATCCATACTTTTGGCATATCTCCGCTGCCAACTGCTTTTGTTCATCCTTGAGCTCAACAGGGGTATCCCTGTAGTGATAGGTAAGGGAGACCCGCTTATCCTCCACCCAAGCTCCATTCTTCTCCACCTTTTCCTTGAGCTCCCTAACCATATTCGTGTAATTCTTTTGGATCTCTGTGGGTAGTTCGTAGTCGTGCCTGGAGCCATCGGGATACTCAATTTCCAGGCCATGATTGCCTGCATAGGTAATTCCGTCGATGTTCACCTGTTTTTGAACATCTTTCAAGCCACGACCCGAGATCACAGCTAGGAAAACTTCAGGATGCTTGGCTATTTTACGGAGAATGGCTTCCAGTTCCACGGGCATTTTGGTCTTGGCGGGATTATCAGCAATGGGGGCCAGGGTTCCATCGTAATCCAGGAGTACAGCTACCTTGTTGCTGGTGTTGAGGTAACTGAAAAGAGGTAATGGAATATTTTAGTTTTTTTTTTAAATATATTTTAAACATTTTTTTTTTTTTAATTTATTTAGTGAATAACCGATTGGTAGAGATTAGGATAGCTATTTGTGGAGATTAAGCTTGGATTTCTAAAGAAAACAAGAAAGGAAGCTAACTTCGGCACGCCGAAGTTTTTATACCCTTGCAGATTGGTTTCGATGTTTATATTATAGATTTAAATGCTGAAAACACTCACAAAACATTACATTTTACCTATACTTATTATGTTTACAGTTTGACAGTTACAGTTTTACATTCCCAGCTTTACATATTTTATACATTTGCCGATCGCTTCTATGGCAGCTATATGATATAGTTGTCCGATTTTTATAAAATTTATACCAAAATTCTAGAATAATAAAAAAAGCTTATAACTTAAAGTAGATGAAAATACGTTGAAAAACAACGAAGTTATAATTTTTTTCGATTAATTTCCCGATCGTTCCTATGGCAGCTATAAGATATAGTCGTCCGATTTTCATAAAATTTTTACCAAAATTCTTAAATAATATAGAGTGGCCATATCTAAAATGGTGCAAAAATGTTGAAAAACAGCAAAGTTATAATTTTTTTTCTAAAAATATATCGAACATTTGTATGGCAGCTATATGATATAGTCGTCCGATCCGGCCCGTTCCGACATATATAGCAGTGAGAGCATATAGAAGACTATATGCAAAGTTTCATTCAGATAGCTTTAAAACTGAGGGACTAGTTTGCGTAGAAACAGACAGACGGACAGATGGACAGACGGACAGACGGACAGACGGACAGACGGACAGACGGACATGGCTAGATCGACTCGGCTGTTGATGCTGATCAAGAATATATATACTTTATAGGGTCGGAAAGGTCTCCTTCACTGCGTTGCAAACTTCTGACTGAAATTATAATACCCTGCAAGGGTATAAAAATCTAAATAATATATAAAGCAAAATATAGCTCGGAATATTATTTTAAAAATTAAAAATCGAATTGATTAGTACAATTAGTGCTCTTGCCCACTGAGATATTAATAAAATAAAAATTTAATTTAAAATCGTAAAATCGCCTTGTATATATCAAAATAATAAATTCGAAAAATATCGAAATTATCGATATTATCGAAAATTATTCCTACAACATTCTTTTATTTACTTGTTTCCTTTCCGAATATATTGAGCCGGTAGAGAATATCGATATTTTGCAGATATATTGCAATGCTAAAAGATCAATTTCTATGTTTATGGCGTCAAATATCGACAAATATCGATAAATTTACGGTTTCTTTCATCCATTAGACCAAATAATAGTTTTAAAAAATGGCAATCACGGATAGTATAATTTAGCATTCTTTACAATTGTAAAGCAAGTAATTTATAACATTAAAATACAAATTTAAATATTAAAATTAAAGTATTAATACAATGACAATCTGTTAAGTAAGCTGGTAGGGTAGACAGCTATATAGATGCTAAATATTTTGCTTTTTTGCTTATCAGCAGTTTGCTTATTACATGACACAGCCACAAGGTCACAACACTTCCGTTAAATAATTCCAACTTACCCCGGCAGATTCTGCTCAAAGTCCTCCAGGTTGTTAATAACAGGTGCCACTCGCTTTTCCGGCATTTTCTCTAATTCTTGGTTACACCTTGTTCCGCTCAAAAGGCAAATTCAAATAAATACAATTGTTTTCACTGGAAATTTAATGATGAAGATGATTAGTTCCGCGTTTTTGGGATTTCTTATCAATGTGTTGTTGATGTCTCAGTGTCTCGGTTCAAACTGTGCGATTTCTCTAACTGAGACTTGCTTTTAAGGCGCTCTGAGAGATAGTGTTTTCGCTGATAAGAAATCTAACTCTACGGGGAATCCTCTCCCTCGCTCTCCGGCTAATTATCACTTGGTCACGATTATCTCTGAAGATCAATTCACCTTTATACAGTGGCGCTGGGTGAAGTGTTTTCTCTCTAGGAGTGGCTGTCTCGAAACCTATCCCTGATGGATCTGACTTGATGCTCCTCCAGTGGCTGCAGTTTTATAATGTTCCGTTGGCGATGATTTCCTTCAGGTTTTTGTTTGGCGAACAAAGGCATTGCCGTCCAGATGCTCTGATTCAGTGCATCATGCGTTGCCTTCGTGGACGGTGCGTGCATTGCCTCCACCTCCTGCCATCGATCGTTAAGTTCAAATTCGAGGGTCGTAAAACAAAAACCGAAATCCATAAATTCCACCCACAAGACAGAGACATTTTCCCTCCCCCTTCACACGTTAATTAGCAATGAGAATGCAAATCTGGTTATGTCCTCGCGTTCGTCCTCGCCGCCAAATCCCTTTGACGTGATGATAAGCGTGTCCCAGTGGGTGGCATCCCACTCTTAACCCCTATTCTCACCCAGACTAAACCTCAGTGCGCGCTGTCAACGCGATTTCGGGACACAAATATTTGTTACATGCAGCGGAATTGATTAGGCGACAGCACAGAGAGTGCCTAAAAATAGTCACAGCATGAGCGCGACACGCGAAAGCCACGAAAATAGAGGGGGGGCTCTAGGGGAATTTGTGGGGAGGTTCCAGACAATGTAGGGTTAAGTTGGGGTATTTTATATTGCGGGTTGATATCTAGGATATAAATAGTTTTTAAATAAATTACTTTGAAATAAAAGAAAATAATCTATTTAAAAGAAAACTAATTTTAATTTTATTTATATATGCTTTGCATATTTTTAAAAAATATTTCATAAATTTATTAAAAGATAAAAAAATCGTAAAACAGTATAAAGTTTCATATAAATATTAAATTACGTTTCTAGTGTTTTTTTTGGTAAACCAAAAATTCCAAATAAATGGGAAAATAAAATTTGTTTATTGAAAAACATTAAGATATTTTTTTCTAATAAAATAGTGGTTTTAATCAAGTCATATGTTTGGCTTTACAAATATTGTACTAATGTTGTTCTTAGAATCCCATTTAAAGACATTTCCAGTACTTCTTATCGAATTTTCATTACAAAATCTTCCACTGGCAATGAAATTTTCCAACATGATAAATTTTCCAGCAACAGAAATTTCCCAACTTCATATGTTTGATGTTGATACTTCATATTTAAGGAAACAAAAAATGCAAACTCTAGCATATCGTCATTGGTAATTGGCCAAGATAATTCCTAGGTTAGTGCCACTTGTAGAGGTTGACTGCCAAAACTGAATCACGTTGTCTGGGAACCGGAGAGCATGCTCCAATAGCATGCTCAGGCCAAACACAGACGCTAAGCAGACCCAAAACAAATCCAGACCAGATCAGGCCAAACTGTTTACACACGATATAAATACAGTAGGGATTCTTTAAATGAAACAAACGAAATATTTTAATTATAAAGCGGAGATTTTCGATCATTAAATGCTGTGCCACAAATCATAGCATCCTAAATAAAAGTGCCTTTTATTGTGCGTCTGCGGAATACATATTTTTAAATTATCATTATCTTATTTAAACATAAAATAATAAGGTAAAAATTGTTTTTACAGTAATGTGTATGTATTAAAATATTTTAACTAAATGAACAATATATTAACACATTTTTTAAATTAATCAAACTTTATTATTTTATTATGTATAGGTTTTAATTGTAGTTTGGATGTTCAAAAATATTTTATTATGATTTTCTCATTATAAGATTCTAAACTTATAAGATTCTAAACAAGTTTTTGTTTTTAAACTTTTCTAAATTATTTGTGCAGGTAACTTTTAAATTTTTTTAGAAATCTACTGTTTTTCAACTGAAATTAGTTTTGTTCAAAGAATTCCACCTGTTCTATTATCATATAGCCATCGAGGTTCACTTCAAAAAGACTAAAAAAAAAGAGGACAGACTGCATTCTCATATCTAAAGGTAAACAAATTAGCTGGAGTTTGGAGTCCCCTTAATCGAATCTTTCGATGGGCACGAGCACAGCTGTCGCCAGACAGTATCGGAGTTGCTAATTTCGATATAATTGGGAGACAACTAATTTTCACATTGATAAACAGGTGTCTGGAACACTCGTTCCCCCTTTTTTCCGTTCAGTGTATATGTTATTGGCACTTGCAATTCCAATTTTCCCACTCACTTTTTCTTTCACCAAATTGCACTGATTGGCCTGTCACAGATCCTAATTCACTTAATTTGTCAATTGAAAAACTGTCAATTAATCCAAATAAATCCGAGCAAAGGCTTTGATTCCGATTTTTCGTAAATATTTTCACAAATTGATAGAACGATTTCTGTTTTCTTTTCTTCTAATTTTTGTTTTGCTTAGCCAGTAGAGCTTTTTTTTTGCCGAAGCTCTTGGATCAAGCTCGCTGACTCAGGTAATAATGAGGGTCATAATGACGAGGCGGGGCAAGATTTATTGGTGGCCATAAATAGAATTTTTAAAACACTTGGCGAAAGAGGCGGTCAAAAGGAAGTGGCTAAGAGTAGCACAGTGGGCTGGGGTGTCTCGGAAAATCTTAATTGAAAATAATGAGTAATTAGGGAAAAGGCGATAAATGGTAGCGGTATCTTTTTTGGAATCCAAGTGACAGTGGTTTGGTTTTATTTTATTATGTATTTTGTAGTTAAAGGTAAAATATTATTAAATATTATTGAATAAAATAGATATAGAAAAATAAATAAATAAAAAAATAAAAGATATAGTAAATAAATCAGAATCTATCTTATAGATAAGTTTTAGAAACCTCTTTAGTATAGTTTATCACGTTTTGTGGTTTTGTCGCTGAATTCCTACTTGAGAATTTTAACGATTTTTATAAAAATAAGCCAATCAAACAATAAAGAAATATATAATTACTTCTTAAATAAATAATTGTAATAAAAACCAAATAAATTTCACCTATTTTAATGAATATATTTAAATCAACATTATTTATTTAAATGATAAAATAAAAAACGAATAAAATCTTCAAAACAAATTAAAAAACATATATTATGAATTTATTTAATTGTTAAATGAAAAAGCAATTATAAAATATATTAAACAAGAAAGGAAGCTAACTTCGGCACGCCGAAGTTTGTATACCCTTGCAGATATTATTTCATTAAATTTTACTTATTGTTTAGAGTTTGACAGTTACAGTTTTACATTCCCAGTTTTACATTTTCTCTACATCTACCGATCGGTTTATATGGCAGCTATATGATATAGTTGTCCGATTTTCATAAAATTTATACCAAAATTCTGAACTAATAAAATGAGCTTATATCTCAGAGTAGATAAAAATAGGTTGAAAAACAACGAAGTTATAATGTTTTTTCTATCAATTTCCCGATCGTTCCTATGGCAGCTATAAGATATAGTCGTCAGATTTTCATGAAATTTTTACCAAAATTCTGAAATAATATAAAATGGCCATATCTAAAAAATGGTGCAAAAATGTTGATAAACAGCCAAGATATAATTTTTTTTCCAAAAATTTATCGATCATTTGTATGGGAGCTATATGATATAGTCGTCCGATCCGGCCCGTTCCGACATATATAGCAGTGAGAGTATACAGAAGACTATATGCAAAGTTTCATTCAGATAGCTTTAAAACTGAGAGACTAGTTTGCGTAGAAACGGACAGACGGACAGACGGACGGACAGACGGACATGGCTAGATCGACTCGGCTGTTGATGCTGATCAAGAATATATATACTTTATAGGGTCGGAAAGGTCTCCTTCACTGCGTTGCAAACTTCTGACTGAAATTATAATACCCTGCAAGGGTATAAAAATAATACTTTATTTCTAAAACATTAAATTCGATTTAATATCTAACAACTTTTAGGTTTATATTTTCCCATAACTCCATATGGTGACAAATTAAAAATATTTTGTTTTCAGTTAAACCCTTAATTAACATAAACAAGCTGCTTAGTCAAAAGCATATTCCTCCCTCGCTTTCTTAGCTTATTTTTTTGCCTACGTAAGTTGAGGAAAATTTTAAGAGAAAAACACAAGGAGTAGGGGCTGTTGATGTTTTTAACACCTTTCGTTCGTTTATCCCGTAAACAACAAGAATGCAAAGTGACAGAGGAGTGTGACGAGTGATTGGGAGTGAGAAGGCGGAAGGCGGGGTCGAAAGGTTGCTCAAGGGAGACCAAGGCTTAAGGTGGACATTAATCAACCGAATATCGAAAAAGCCCCGGGGGGGTCAAAGGGCAGTCGAGCGATAACGTTGGCCAAAATTAATGCTCAGCTCGGCTGACAAAATCCAACCTGTTGCCACTGTCGGGAGCAATTAGTGGACGTGCCACGAGCCGTTTCGATGTCAACAGGTTGCCACATGGCACGTTTGTCTTCGATGCACACCGTCAAGGGGCGGAGTGGGTGGACTGGAGTGGGATGGATATTTAGGGGGCTTTCAGCGCGTGCAAAGTCATGTAAATATTTCTCGCAGTGTGCGTGTGTGTTTCGCGTAGCATTAGGGCATGGCTTATTGCCAATTACATGGAAAATGTTTGCATACCCTCCTCCTCGTTTTGTGTTTTTATTAGGTTTGTGTTTGTTTTGTTTTTCGGGTCTCTAATGTTAAGTGAAGGTCAGCCTGGCCAAAAATTCAATTGCCCCCCCACGGCGGCAGCATGTTTGTAATGGAGCCTAGGAATATGGGGAATAAAATGCTGTAAGTTGTTGGCAACATTGTAGCGGGTTTGGATTACAAATTGTGTTGGTCAATATTAAGCTGAATATTTTGGGATTTAAAGGTGCACTAGGAGTTTTTATTGAAAAAAGTTTAAAGCAACTTTTTTATAACATGATAAAATATATAAGACAATGGCTTTGGTTCAAGGTTGATTTATAATTTAATTTAATTTATTTTATAAAATTTTTATATATATATTTTTATATTGTATTTTAAAAAAACGAAAAACAACTAAATTTTCTTATCTGCATCCTTTTTTAAAAATATACTAAACTAACTATTGAAAATATCGTAATAAATAAAATTTGTTTAAATAATTTATTAATTTATTATTGTTCTAGACATTGTCCTTACTTATACTAATACATATTATTGATTTTTAAGCTGAAGATAAAAATAAACAAGACCATTTGTAATGCTAAAGTACTTTAACTTTATAGATTGTTTTTTCGTTTGGGACAACAAAAATTTAATAAATAATAAAACAGCTTCGGGAGTGAAAACAAGTTTAGCACATTATAAAATATTACTTAGACACAAACCCCTGTTGTTCCTTAATTTATGCAACACACAAATGTGTTGCTAGCAAAAAAGGACACCATTTTCTTAAAACATTTTCTTAAGGGGGGGGGTAAGGTTAATTCGGTGCAAAAATGCCCACTTTTCAAAAAAATGTTGTGGCGAAACGGCTAAAGCTAGCTTAACGAATTAAATACCATATAATAACACAACATTTGAACAGTTTGTGATAAATTTTGTATTGAAAAATATTTAGAGGTAGAGGAGTTATAGGGAATAGTCGCCTCCAAAAAAAGTTGGTTTGCGGTGTACATCCTAACTGTCCACAGAATCATCCGATCTTCAAAAATTATACCTCATTCGTTAAAGGATAAGTGTCCCGAGGTATTCTCGAAGCGTTTTTATTTTTAAAATTTTTTCCCTATTTTTTATCAAAATTTGAAGTCAAAACCCCGATTTTTGACTAAAAAATTAAGTTAATTTGTTAAATAAAAAATATAAGAAAATTAAAAATTAAAAAAAGCTCGACGAGAATACCTGTAGAATTATCTAAAGAAGTTATGTTCCAAATTTCAAACCGATTGGTTCAGTATATTTTTAGTTATCGTGTACACCGATTTTCAAAATGGCATTTTTCAGGAGAGCGCTTTAAACTTTGTGATTCTCATGCATTGAACACCAACCGACCTTCGTTCAGCTACGCATAACTTCGTCAATTTGACTATGATTGATGTAAAACTTGGACACAATATTTTTAAGATATTGAACTTTTAAAATAAAAAATAAAAAAAAATTTACGAAAAAAAAAATTAAATACCTTACCCCCCCCTTAAACTCTGGGATAAATCTGTTTAATTTTTAATTCACAAATAAAATAAATAATAATAATAAAATAAATAAGTAAAGATTAATATTCTGAAGAGTTTTTTTTTATAGTAAACTTTAAATAGTAGACTAAAAATATTAATTTAAAAGGCCAGAACAAAACAAAACTAAGTTTTCATAAGGCCTGCCAATTTATACTATAAATATTTATATTTATATTATCAATACTAATTTCATATAAATATGTTTTATATATTCTTTTCTTTTTTTCAGAATATTAAGCTTATAACTTAATATATTTTTTATTAGAATTATTTCAAGTAAGGTCACAATACGTGTTAAGTATCTCTCAAAGTTTTTTCTCCCTTTTATGTCTCAATTTCCCGCTTTAGCAACATTGCAATTGTAAACATATGTTTCCCTCAGCGAGAAATGTTGCTGGCAGCATGTTTGCTATTGCTAGGGAATATTGGCGGGCTTTTACAATGTTTATAAACTTTTGTGGCGAACTGTTGCTGTGTGCGTGGCTTCATTCCGCCTCAAGCAGCGCAGCAGATGCGACGCGTCGCGGTCGCAGAGGAAAACTTCCTACGAGTTTTTGTTGTTGCTGCTCCCAGTTTCGTGTTATTCCTATATCTCTGATATAATATATATACATATATACGTGTCTCGTGTGGTGCAGCACTTCCTTGCCGAACTCTTTTGCATTTTACATCTGTCCACACATCGCAGGACTTTGTTGACACCGCCGCCTGCGAAGGTGGGAAAAGTGCGGAAAAGTGTGGGAATTGTGGGTGGCGGCCAGCCGCACTCCGTGTGTTTTTTATTATTGTTTTACAATGGCAACGCATCGGCCGGCGCTGCGTCGCAATAAAACCACTTCGATGGCACTGGCAGCGGCACTAGTTGGATATATAAAAGCATAATTGCTATGAGCCAGTGGATTAATACGCAACAGGAAGCTGGAGTGTCAACAAGACATTCGGAAATTCGGAAAACTATTAAATATTTTCATGGAATAATAAATCATAAAATAAAGGCCATTAAATATCTAAAAATAAGAAACATAAAAAATATTCCAAGAACAACTATAAAAACCAATTAAAACGTTTATGAAAAATCAAACAATTAAGTAAATTATTTAATAAACAATAATCAAGTAAAAGAAACCAAACAACAGGAAACCAAAGCCAAATAAAAACTATTTATAAAAAAAAACCATAAAAGCAGTACAAGAAAAAAACTAATAATCATTTGCCAAAAATATACATTAAATCGTTTTTTTGTGTTTATACCGAATGTACAAATTTATAAATTGAAAAATAAAAAGTATTTATTATTATAACATTTAATAATTAATAAAAAGACGTTTAACAAATAATAAAAAAAACAAGTTTTAAGAAAACATTTTAAATATATTTTGTACAAAAACAATTATAGTTAACCAGTGCGTATACTTAATATTTATAAACAAAAGACAAACAACAGTAAAAAAGTGTTAACATTTATGAAACAAAAGCTGTTCAATTATTAAAATCAATATAGCTTATTCTCGAGCTAAATAACATCTTATCCTTGATCAAACGGTGCGTATACTTAATTTTTGTTACAACTAAATAAAATACTTGAATTTATGGCAAATGAAATTTGCAGAAAACTTTGTTTCATATTAATAGCCAATAGCAACATGAACACATAATAAATTAAATCAAAAGTTTTGCCTTTGTGCGATAGACACTATAGTTCTTGGGAATTTTGTAAACAATTTTAGCAGAGGCAGTGGCGTGGGAAAAGGTTAATTCTAGAGGGGCTTAGCCATAATACCCTAAGTAAATATAAACCTAAAGCAGGGGAAAACCTGTGTTTTATATACGTAAATATTAATGTTTGCTTTTTAGCCCCCCCTTTTGCGAAATTATTATTTCGCTTCTCCAGCCGACCTTGACTCATGTCTCACCCATGGACCATAACTTATTCACCTGATGGTTTCTCTGCATATATTTCTTGATTCTCTCGATTTGTTAATCATTATAATTGGCTTTGATTGTGGCCACTTCCGCCAAAAACAGTCTTGTGCCAAACTGTTTGACTTTGAAATATTTTCAGAAATAAAACAAATTGTGGTGAACGCTCGTCCATCTCGCTCTGTCTGTTTTTGATTTGTTTGTTTGATAAGTTTTAAATTTGGCAAGGTCGCCCCAGCAGCATGTCTGTGCGAAAAGTGAAATGCAAAATTTATATTATTCGATGCCCCTCGTCCATCTAATCTCGCCTTGGATTTGGGGGAAAGTGTTTACGACGCAGCGCGGCAAGATTTATTATATCAACACAACATAATCAGGGATCCCAATACCTGAGAGAGCTGCTCGCACCTCTGCCAAAGTGACTAGTTAATAGCACCCGATACCCTAACTGCGGCGGCGGCGGCCGGCTTTTACTTTGTGGCCGGTGCTGGTTATAAAGCCACAAACAAAAGCGTTTTATTGCCTGTCGACAGCAGACAAAACCAGAGACAGTAGCAAACGTTGACAAACGCCATAGCCGCAGAAAAAAAATCGAAGCGGTGAGAAGCTAACCTTTAAAGCCGAATTAGGGTATACCCTGGAACTTAGAAAATAACCAAATTAAATAAATTTTTGTATAATTGGCTTTTCAATATTAAATAATGTAATTTATCAGAGGAAACTTTAGAGAACAGCTTCTGTTCATTAACATTGAATGTAAAAAGTTTTCCAGAATGCCCTTAAAATTCTCAAGTACGAATTCAGTGACAAGCTGCAATAAATGAAAAGAAAAATAATGATAAGATTCTAAGGCTGTGAATGAAAGCATTTAAAATAGTTACAAATCTATGAAAAATTCTATACTTCTTAAGACATTATTTCCAAGCCTGTGAGGTTTTTTTATTTTTATTTTTATTTATAAATGAATAAAATAAATTCATCATTAACTTTTTTAATCTCAACATAACTACTTATCCTAAAATATCTTAAAAATACCCCAATACTATTTTATTTTCGAAAACTATACTTTCTAAATCCCCCTTGACTTATCCCTGATTCTAATCTCAAACAAACCCACCTTTCAGCCTTATATCCCTTTATGTAATCCCAGGGTAGCAAAAATAATTCATCGTTTCGAGAAACTGACACAATGAGTGGGTACCGGGTACGACAAGTGCATGGGAATTTTATGAGGATGGAGGGATCATAAAGAGCAGAAAGCTGGAAGCCCGCCCGTTAAGGGCTGGAAGGGAGGGTAATAACATGTTATGAGGCGCCCTGAGTTATTGATATTTTGCATCCACACAGCCTACGACGACAAGTGGCAAAAGTGGCAGAGGAATGTCGGAGGCTAAAGAGATTTTATTCAATTTGAGGTCTCCTCTCTCTCTCTCTGATGCGGAAATGTTGTTCTTAACCATAAATTCCATTGATATTTATGAGAAGTCCCTATTTTTATTGGAATCAAAAAAGGAATGGAATTAAGCAGATAAAAGTCAAACAATATTTGATAATAATTAGGTATATACAGTGGGTTGGAATATAATAATATATACCATGATCAGGGATGATATTATAATATAATATTTAATAGATAGAATATTTAAGTATTTAAGTACATTTTAAAATCCATAAGCAAGTCAAGTTTAATTTTATTTCTAGGCTTCGGTTACTTTTCCCTTAATTTATTTAAATTTCTCCTTGTTCTTTACCAATACCAAATTTTACCTTTTTCAACCCTTTTACCATATCGCATATCAAACCACTTAAAACTTTTTAAAGAGTTTGTTGTGTCCTTGAAGTTTCGTTTGCTTTGAATCCTTTCGCTTCATATTTCCCCTAGTTCCTTATTTCTTGTTCCTTTTTTTTATTTTGTGGCCCCGTGTCTATGTTTATTTAAATGGTGCTTAGTAAACAAAAAGGAATCACCCGTGTGAGCGTAACTAAAAAAACATTTATGACGCTTGACTTGTATTTATGAGCCTGATTTGGCAAATGTCTGCCGACGTCTAACAAAAGAAGAAAGAAATTTCTTTTCTTACATTTATTTTTATATATAAATGTATATATATATATATTTAAACCCCACTCAAGGTGAATGCTTATGTGAAGGAAGTTGACCGCCAACTCCAACCATTTTTACGCATTTTCAATTTCATGGCCGCTCAGCAAAACAAACTGAGTGAGTAAATGAGAGAAAAACCAATGGCAACATTTATTGCTATTTCACAGAGAACAAAAATGTAAACAAATATATTGTATAAAATATATAATTTAATTTAATTTTATTTAATTTAATTAAGTTTAGGGGAGAAAAAGGACTTCGTACAGTAAATAAAAATTATACTTTAAAATATTACTCGTTTAAACATTGTATTTATTTATATTATATTTTAAACTTCACTAATATTTTTATGCAGATAAAAAACTATTAAGAAATTTAAATATTTCTGAATTATAAGGAGACTTAAGCTTGATTTACAAAGAAAAAATTTATTTAAAAACAATAATTAGGATACAGCTTGAAACTAGCAGGCTTGGATTTAAAAAAAATATATATATACATATAATCTTTAAAAAATATATATTTATATATATTAAAAATTCTACTAATTTCTAACATTTTAATTTAATTTCTGTAATAATTCTTTAACTAATTTCTAACAATTTAATCATTATAAAGATCTTTAATACACCCCTATTTTCCCCCTGTGTATTTATTGTTAATGCTAACTCGCTGCTCGATACTGAAATAAAATGACAAGCAAAAAATAGGAAAAAAACGCAGTAAAAGTGGAAGTGTGAGCAGAGGGCAGCGAGACACCATGGAGTGGGCAACTCCAATCATCAACAATGGTTCGCATGGCAAGTGGCGCACTTCCCATGACCTTAGCCGAAAGTGGAATTGGTTGGCACCATGACAACCCACATGGCATCGCCACCTATAGCCCCTGCTCCACCCCTCTCCCTCCTCCCCCGTCACTATCCCCCATTTCCTGAACAACCACTTGTTGGCTGGGCAGTTTGATTTGTTTTCCGTGGAACTCCAAGCTTTCTGGCATAATCATCCTCATCAACCCAATCAACTTTCGGGCGATGACAACCACAACTGCCCGTACACGTGTTCCACAAAAGACTAGAGACACTGGCAGAAACTAAAATAGTTTGGGGGAATATTTTTTGATGATAAGAATAAGTGTTTATAAAACTAAGTATATACTTTTTTGTAACAAAAAAAACTGCAAACATCTTTTTGAAAATATGAAACTACGAAATTTTACATACATTTATCATTCTTTTTGTTTTATTAAAAAAAAAGGGAAAACATATAAATCCACTTTAATAATTTATATTTATTTCCTCATCATTTATATGTTTTCCTCTGTAAAGAAAATTGTAAAAAGTTAGGAGGGGGCGTAGGAAACTATAGAGTGCGGTAACTCAATCTTCGTCTGGGGCCCCCAATTATATTTTGGTGCGCAATAGACCACCGGCGTGTGTTGGTAAACATAAAGGGAGAGCAGGTCAACAAACCCAAAAAGGGGCCCAACTTCATCATCCCCCATCAACGCTGGGAGGCTTTTCACTTTCAATGCCTATGTCAAGGTCCGGTCAACGACGTCCTGATAATTCAGACATGCGAGTGTCCTGTCATTACCTAGCACAAGGGGTACTCTTGGAGGCAAAGCTTAGTTGGGTGATTAAAGATAAGCCGGCATATAAACTAAGAACTAAAAGTTTCTGCCAAATATTTGGGTTAGTTTTTGGTAATTAGGAATCTAGGATATGTGGGTGGAAAATAATTATTTAACCCAAGGTAACATTAAGGATATTTGCAAGCTGGTAATGTATTTTAATTATTTAGGGAGGTAAAACTTAATATAAGAAATTATATTAATATTAAATAGAATACTTAAATACTTTAAGTTAAAGTCTCTTTAAAATACTTCCTTAAGTTAATCCTTAGTCTAGACTGTTTACATTTTGAAATTGACCCCTCAATATATATTTTCAAGTTGTAAACATGCCAATCCTCTGATGATGCAATTTCACACCTAATTAAATTCCCAGAAAAAATTATATTTTGGTCCTGGGGCTCAGACACTTGATAATTTCGAATGCAAGCTTGTTTTTTCTTACATAATAACCAAGCTCTTGACAATATTGCCTGGGAAACCAATCGTTTCCATTTGATTTAGTTTCTGATTTCCTTTCTTAAGAAAGAGTGCGGGTGCCCTTAACCATTTTTTTTCAAAAAATTCTTGGAAACTCATTAGTGTGCGACCGAGCAGGTGCTTACACCTTGCTTCAATGCGTCACCTTTCTTTACAGCAAAATTAAAGCACACCTTCACAATAAAAAACCTTAAAGAAAGAGAAGACTGGGATAGTGAATGAAGGCAAGATAATAAAATATTAAATTTGGGAAAACCAAAACATGGCGACAGATTAGCGGGTGGAAGGAGATTTTCCCGGAACTTACCCGAATTGTATAATTAAATACAAATTAGCAGGGAAACAGCAAAGTTTTTCCCGGCCCTCCCCCTGAGGATTAAAAGCGTCTGGCTACACAGACAAAACTTTACGGATTAGTCTTAAAGCCTATACCAAAAAACCACTTGATGCTTGGGCATTACGTATACGCCATGTTAGGCGGCAGCTGGCAGTAAGAGGGATCTAGACTAGAGAGCCAGGAAAATAGGAAAAGCCGGATACTGTGGGGGGAAAACGCTTCATTAAGCACGCACAGTGCTGTCATGGACCGTTCGAGAGTGTTTGAGTTTCAAATCCAACTAATTAAAATCTACGCAGCAAAACTTGGAGAAAACGTTGAGAACATAGAAATTTTCTGTAGGTATTGCTTTGGATTTTAAATGAGTTTGAGGTGAGGTGAAATCCTCTTTTAGTTTGGCTGGCTGCCAAGGCCATTTGTTACACTTTTTCCTAGGATTTTGTTACAAACTTGAAGCCACAGAGCTAGGGCATTGCGAAACCTTAAAAGACTTGCAATTATTTCTCAACCGAAAAATTCGTTTTAATTACTGATGATGATGATTACTGATGAGCATTTCCAAGAAGTGTAATTGAACTGGCGGTTGTTTGGTTGTAAAACTCAAAGATTTTAAGGAAAAGCAATTACATATAAACTTAATAGTTTCATTTGTGAAATCAAAGGGCTTTTTTTTTTGGGGAATTTAAATATTTAATAGGATTTTGTATTTCATAATCCCCTGCATTTAATTCACTTAAACCTGAATCCATTTTCCACTCAATCACTAAACTAAAAATAACCAATACCTCATCTCTGGGCACGTGTGTTTCAACTGAGCCTGAAGCTCAGTCTGTCTGCGTAAAACACACACATATCAAGGACTTACCCATATCCGTAACTGAAGGACACTGGAAAGGAGTGAGAAATAATTGATATTTGATTGTTGTCACTTGTTGCTCCCTCTGCTCCGTTTTTTGTATTTTTTGTTTTGCTATTTGTGCCATACTTTTGAAGTGCTTTGACATCCTGCGCTAATCGGCTGCCAGGGGAGTGTCCTTATAATTTATAGTAATGACCATGACAATGTTCAAGGACTGCGCCTCGAATATATCCTCTATTTTCTGTTTCTGTCTGCGGCTGTTTCTGGAGGACAACGCAGAAAGTGTCCAATAAATGTTTCATAGTTGTCGGTGGCTGCTGACATTGTTGACCTTATCAAAAGCGCAAATACACCCCCATGCCTCCCCACCCACATGTGTGTAAAGAAATGTCCATGGGTGACTATAAAAAACACACAAGCCGAGCATCTTTTGTTGAGTGTTCCTGCTGCGTTTGGAAACAGGAATGCACTTGGGAAAACCTTTAAATAAGTGAAATTATATTTATTTAATCTGTGTTTAATCACACTATTTATAAAATTATGTAATGCTTATTCAAAATAGGTATTAAAAAATTATAAAACGTTTAAAAGTGAAATTTTTTTAATTTCTAGAAAACATCTTATATAAATCTTTGTATATTTTTTGTTTAGTAAACGCTGGCCTTTGTTTTTGGTTATTTATTTGTAAAAAATATACAATAAATTATTTCTGTGAATTTTTAACGATATATTTTCAAGCGTTTATACTTAAATTTAATCATTTTAGATAGTTTCTTAATTTGTCTGGCTCAGTAAAATTTTATTAAATTATTTTTAAACTTAAACTTCTTAGGTTGTTTATTTCCAGAGTGTCTTTTTGTGTTCTAAGTTAATTTTTTTATTAATACAAAAATCTGTATAATTTTTCTCTGAGTGTCTCTCCCATTTCCCTTATCCCTTGTCTTTTTGTTTTGTTTAAAAATTTGCAATAATGCTTTGGAGTCTTTTGGCCCAAATAAGAATGCGACCTGGTCTAGTCGCAGAGTCTGTGTCTTGGACCAACTTTTGATGTGGGTTTAGGGGGAGCTAAAGCCAGCCACAACAGAATCAGGAATTCGGTGAGAATAAAGGTTATGTCAGTCACTCTTGGCAGACATATTGTCTCGGAAATAGGAGACCCTAAAATACAGACTCCAAGCTTCTATGATACATGTTTGGCCCTGACATTGATGGGAACATTTGGGAATGTTGTTTTCTTTCCTTTTTTAAATAAGAAAATATATAATATTTATATATATTTTGATGGGGATTTAAAAACGATTTTGCACACCTGTTTGAATATCTAAATTTAATGCGAAGGCTAAAGAGATTTTAATTGTATATTTAAGAATGTATATGAAATAAATTAGTATTATTAGAAATGAATTTTTGCCTCAGAAATAAATGGAAATTAAATATTTTATGATATCATAATAATAGCTAAAAGGCGGGCCTCAGTTATAAAACGTTTTCTGAAAATAAGAAAATTCAAAATTATATTGGAATAATATCTTATAATCTAATAATTTAGGGAAATAAACTAATAGATATCATAGCCTTCAGTAAAAGCAAAAAAAATTAATATAAATTCATTGTAATATATATTTCTTTGGTATCTCACAGTCTCAATACCTGTCTCTCTATCTCTTCACTTGCTAAAAATCTTATTATATTTTCCAGACAATTGTTCCCTGGACTCCACAATGAATGCCACCTCGCCAAAGTCATCGCTGGTCAAGTTGGGTCTGCACACTAACAAACAAAAGACGCTCAAGGTTATGGTTCTGGGCCAAAGTGGCGTTGGAAAAACGGGTGAGTCTCCTCCACTTCCCCCCGAGAACACAAGGAACCCATACTCTATGAACCTACCTTAACTTAGCCATGGTGGTGCGTTTTATTACCCGTCGCTTCATTGGCGAATATGATCCCAATTTGGAGAAGATTTACACCTGCCAAACCACGCTGGACAAGGAGCAGATTCAGTTTGACATTCTGGATGCCACCGGTCAGCTGCAAGTGAGTGGAATGACTTTTTAAGTAGGTTTAAAGTTTATTCTGGGTTATGTTCTTTAAAGGAATTAGATGGCGTGAGTCTGGAGTCCAATATACGCTGGGCGGATGCCTTCATCCTCATGTACTCCATCACGGACAAGTGTTCCTTTGACGAGTGCAGTCGCCTAAAGTTCCTGATAAATTACAACAAAAGGAGACGCAAGCTGGGTTCGGCCAGTAAAGTGAGTTATAATTATAAACCTTCAGTTTTAAGTTTAGACTATTAATATTTCTTAATTTTCAAGGACTATACTTTGGATATTCCTGTTATCTTGGTGGGCAATAAGACAGATCAGCCCGGGGATCGCATGGTTAGCTTGGAGGAGGGTCAGCGAAGGTTCAGGGAGTTATCCTGTGCCTGTTTTCATGAGATTTCAGTGAGAGAAAGCGTTGAGCAGGTGGGTTTAATCACTAATTAAGTTAAATATAATTGTTAAATAATTTTTAAATATTTTTAAACAGGTCCAAAATGTCTTCCGCGATGTCTTTCGCTTCTGGCGTGTCTTTACCAAATTCCCCAAGCTTAAACGCTCCACCAGCGATGTGGCCAACACGGATGGCATTATTACACCCGATTCGGGCTCTAGTTCCTTCTACGAAGCCTCTTCCTTGGGCGCCGGTCGTCGCTCGTTTTTGGTTATTGGCAGTGCCTGTCTGGAGGAGAGCAGCGGTGACCACACCGAGTCCACGGATGAGATAACCAGCAGCAGTTTGAGCAGCTCTCGCAGCGACATCGACGCTCCCTTCCGAAGTCGAGCCTCGACGGATGGTACTTTGTTGTCGCGACCCCGAAGGTGGCGCTATCCACCGCCGGGCTGCCTGCTGCCGCATACGAATCGCGTGGAGCGGCGGATGAGCATTTCCACCAGGGGCAGCAATGCCAGTTATTGAGGGGAGTCAATGAAGTAGGCTGAGCTTAGTTAGTCCAAATGTAGCGACAAATATATAGCTAGATGTTAATCAGAGAAACCAAAGCTTGTTCATTTTTGGGAAAACGAAAACATTATTTATATAATTTTTTAATTGCTTCAATGGACAAATATATTTATTTACGCGAACATTAACCATATAACATAAACAATCGGGTAATGGAGCATCCAGACCAAAATTTCAATCCTAATCATCATCAATTTTAAGCAGATACTCTTCGGCTCGCAGGGCCAGCTCTCGGATGTTCCGCAGGCAGCCGGCAGCAGCCAACTGGAGTTCCTTGTTGGTGGAGCCAATGCACTCCAGGAGGAAGGGTACCACGCCGCTCTGGAAGAAGATAATGAAATGATGAATAAATATGTATAATATTTTAAAGTAGAACTCTCTCTTAAAAACAAAACCCTCACCTGGTGCATGGTAATACAGTTCTGCGGATCCATCGATAGCTTCTCCAGGGCCATGGCTGTGCTGCGATGCACCAGCGGATTGTCGCTGGTCATGTAGGTGACAATCGGAGTCACAGTGCGCAGGCGTCCCAGCTCCTCGGTATTATTGCCAAAGGTGGCACAGGCAGCCACGGCGGCTGCCAGATTCATTCTTAGCAGATCATCCGTGGTCTGGACAAGATCTGCCAGCTTGTAAATCACTCTGAGATCGCTTAGGATGGCCAGATTAGTGTGATCCTGGGCAATTGTGGCTATGGCTGCACACACGGCCGACAGAACCATGATATCCTTAGACTTGAGCAGTCCCACCACCAGTTCCATGGCCCCTACTAGACTCCTCACCAATTCAGCGGAATCGGTGGCATTGCGGACACAGGGACATATGGCATAGGCGGCATGGGCCTGAACCCTAGTGCTGGTGTTCTTCAAAAGAGACCATATCAGTCGGACGGCATCAAGATCTTCCAGTATTCTCATGCTCTGCGGATCCTCGGCGCACTCCTTCAAGGCCTTGGCCAAATTCTCCAAGAGCGGGGCATGGGAACTGTTAAGAAGGGCCACCATGGATGGCAGACCACCGGCCTGACGCAGCTGCTCGCGATTGCTCTGGAATCTCACGCACTCAGACAGGGCGCCCGTGACATTGGTCAGCACCTCGTCGCATTCATCATTCAGCAAGGCCACCAGATGATTGACCGTTCTCAGTTGATCCAGGACCTTGACATTAGCATCCGTCACAGCACTCATCCAAATGGCTCCGGTGGCACCCCTCAAGAGTGGCTTGTTTTCCCTCATATTCTTATCCTTAATGATTGTCACCAGGGGTTCTAGGCCGCCAGCTTCCCTCACCAACTCCCTGGTGTTGGCATCGAAAGCACACTTGTAGATCGCTGTACTGCCCTCCATCTTGAGTTCCGTATTCTCTGAACTCAAATGGGTGACAATATCAGGGATCATACCCTCCGTTGTGATGGCCAGTTGGAATTTTGGCTCCGAGGAGCACTTCCTAACGGTGCCCATTATTGGGATCACCACATCTATGTGACAGGACTTGAGGAGCTGTGCCATTAGTGGGACAATTCCACTCTTTCGCATCTGCTCCATGTTGTGCTTGGAATCGGCCAAAGTGAACAGGGCCCGAGCACCAGCCCGGGTCATGTCCAGGGACTCCAGATCATCGGCACTCAATTGATCACGAGGGGTCTTTAGAATGCTGGGTATACAAACCATTATAATTATAATTAACTAATTAACTTTTAAAACAATAAGCAATAGAAATCTTTTAAAATTATTCTTAACTTACCTCAATTTAATGTCGATAAGATCCACTAGCTTGGGAATCCCACCGCAGGTCCGAACATATTTCCTCGCCAGTCGCACCTTGCACACATTCGCCAATGTTTCGGCAGCCATTGTCTTGAGATCCTTCATCGAGGAGTTCAGTATATCCACTATCAACGGAATCCCATCGAGATCCACAATTGTTTTTCGTATATCAATGTTCAAAGTAATGTCGGAGAGGACGGTGAGGGCTCCCAAACAGCACTTGGTGTCGCTGCACTCCAGAATATTTACCAGGACCTCGAGTCCACCGATGTCCGAGATGGCAAACTGATTGATCTGAGTGCTCAGATCGTAGTCCTTTAAGCAGCACAGCGATACTATAGTGGCTGTCTGATTGCCCGCCTTGATGTACTTCACCAGCTTCTGGATGTTGTAATAGTCTGCGGGAATTTCAGCGGCCCGTGCCACCTCCTTCCAGCGGTCCTCCTCGTCAGTGTCGGACTCCACCTCGGTGGTATCCGAATCCTCGGCCACCACCTGGCGCTTGTCCTTCGAGAAACGGTTCGGACAGGAACCGCACTGCTCGCGCACCTTACGCCCGCGGTGCTGCGACCCATCGCTGCTCTTGGCAATCATCTCGATGGCTCTACTGGGTAGGACTTGATTCCTGAGTTACCTGTCGGTATGCCAGGTCCTTTGGTTTTATGTATGGGAATTTTCTTGTGTTTTTGTATGGGAGATTTTGTGGGTTACTCAATTGATTTAACACAACGTGTTGCTGGGGTAACGAAATGGAAATTTCAAAGGTCGAAGGCCTTTTTAAAGGGGGTGCAAGAATAATTCAAGGGAAAGGGAAAGGGAAGGAAAAGGTTTTAAATGTTTTTCGTTTTTTTTTTAGAATAAAAATACTGTTTATTTGGATTTTGTTGTACTTTAAAATTTGTTTTTATATTAAAAAAATTATTTACAGATTTCATTTATGGCTTTAAACCTACCTTTCTTGGCATTTCAATAACATTTTCTCTTTCGTATAAGTAATACTTACTACATTATAGCAATAAATGAAAGTAATACTCCTTAAACCACATTTTCTTTACAACTTCAAAACAAATTTCAATATCTACAGATATCATTTTCCTTATTATTTCTCAATAAAACCTATCTTGTCTTGGGTTCTTTGGTATGAATTCTACAGTGTCTCTGAAAGTTGGATCGATCTGCGAAGGCCTGTGGACAGCGCGAGCACTGGTAGGTCCTTTCCCCAGTGTGCTTGCGAAGGTGTTTCTGAAGATGGGCTTGCTGGAAAAATGATCTCGGGCATTGGGAACACTCATAAGGCCGTTCACCCGTGTGTATTCGAATGTGGGCCTGCTGAGTTGACTTCTGGGCGAAGGACTTGGGGCAGTGGGAACACTTGAATGGCCGTTCCCCCGTATGAGTGTGAAGGTGTAGCTTTAGAATATGTTTCTGTGTAAAGGACTTGGGACAATGTTCGCACTGGAAGGGTCGTTCTCCAGTGTGAATTCGAATGTGTGTGGCAAGTTGATGTTTGCGAATAAATGTTTTCTGGCATTGGGAACACTTAAATGGACGCTCCGCCGCAGAAAAGGTGGCATTGTCATCTCTTTCGGCGGAATTTGCTTCGGAAATATCTGAAATATGAGCTGGATTTTCTGGCTCATTTTTCACTTCGTGTGGTTTTGGTTCTTCTTCCTCCAGAAAACATATTTCAAAGCCTTCCTTCATCGCTTCTTGATCTGTTCCCTCGTCGTTCTCTGGTAGTATTTCGACCTGTTCCTTAATTTGACTGAAATACTGCTGACTCCTCTCGAATGTCTGCTTGAATTCGTATGCATTTTGGGCATCCAGCATGCAGGGTCGGCATATGGTCTTGGGATAGGCTTGTCTTTGGGAAATGTAAATTCCAGTACACTGGGAAATCATATCAGCAATCAAGGTGCTTGATCCTGGCGGTGCCTCAAATATATTGACCATTACCCTTTCTTTTGCCAAGCAAACTCGGCAGATTGCTCTGTAAATAAGAGAAAAAACTGAAGATATTTCTTAAATCCAATAAGTGCCTTTACTTACGTATTATTGGTTTCGGTATTGGAGGGGATTCCCAGGCGGTTGTGCTCCAAGGCGGGTGATGCCATGATATGATTCCCATTAGGGAAACTCCGGGTCGCGGCGCTCATATTCCTCAATTAATTTATAAATTTTGTACATTTATTGCTACTTTGTTTTTGTTTATGTTTTTATAAATGCTATCCAATGTGACCGCATCGAGGCAGGTGTTTAATACCATTTAATTTTACAGCTTAGGGTATTCCCCCAAAATTGAAAGATTTTAACAGCTTTTTACATACATTTTTTAATTAAAAGGAAAATGTTTAATGAAACAAACTATTGTGTTTGTTTTTTAATTCTATTTTCTCCTATATAGGTAAAAAATGTTATATAGACTACATAAGTATATTTAAAAATACTGCTTCTTTTTTTTACAATTAATGTTTTATGTTTTTCTATTTTACAAATTCATTTTCTACCAATAAAATATATACATTGTATATTTAAAAATCCTCAACTCGGTTTTTTCGTATGAATTTGTATGTGTTCTTCCAGAGCCACACTTCTAGTGAATGCCTTGGGGCACTGGGAACACTTATACGGATGTTTTCCAGTATGACTAACTCTAAGTGGCATCTAAGATCCATTTTCGTAACAAAAGCCCCTGGGCAGCAAGGACATTCATGTACCCTTTCCTCCTTATGAGCAGGGAAATGCTGTTTGAGTGTAAAACCTGTTGAAAAGGACTTTGGACAGGGGGCAGTGCCCAGTGGCCTCCCATAGCAAGTCCGCTATCGACAATTCCGATTCCAGCTTGCCTTGAAATATATTCAGCATTCCTCTTGATTTTCCTAAGTAAACTCGACAGGTTTTCCTAAGGTTTAAAAATATTTAATACAAATATTTATCACATATAAAGTACTCACAGTTTCATGTTTTAGGTCCTTGTGTAGCAGTTTTTCATCGAGGGAATTGTGCTCCGTTTCTTCTTCCAAAAGAGATTCGTTTTTAGCCAGTTTAAGATCTATTATTTATACAAATAACGGTTTGTTGTTGAAATACGAAGTTATTTGTTTAAAAATTTTTTTTGAATGCCGTTAGTGTGACCGCAGGGAAAACTGTTAAAAATGCATTATGTTACGCTATCCAGGTTAGCTATATAGCTACAGTTTTTCGGCGAATTCGCGCCTTTCGCATATTTCGGTATTTTTTGTGGAAAATCGTACGGTCACACTGGTTGTTTGTTTTCTATTTTCAATCGCAGTTTGTTTTTTATTTTCAATTAAAATTCGCCTACCGCAAAAAGCAGCAGCAGCTGAGCGCATTGTTTACGGAAACCAGTCGCCAAATTAATAAAGAAACCAACGAGTGAGACAGTTAAAGGGAAATGGGAAATGCCAGTGGCAAGCGGGAGACGGATAATCTCTACACGTCGGATGAGCTACGTATGCTGGAGAGTGCCTACAGGAATGCGTCCGGCGGAGCTCTGGAGAAACTGACCCAGGACAGGCTAATTGTAAGTCGAAGGACTCGGACTCGGGCTCGAACTCCGCGATGAGCCGCGTGTATGAGTGCGAAAATCAATGTGGGGGACACAGTGAAGGGTGCAACTGCGTCAAAGGGTCAGGGTCGTTAGTTCAAGGCCGTGCAGAGTGAACTTCCCCGAAGAAGAAAAAGAGAAATCACAAGGTCCCCCAACCATACGGCTGCCTGACAAATGGCACTTCACCTGCTGTGTCCGGAGTACCCTTTTGTCAAGGAGGGTGTCTTGATTTGGACAGTCGTTTGCCAAGCATTCAATTATATAAATAAATAAATGGGGTTAACGATAAGTAAAGATAGGTTATTAGGAAAGTGTGTTTTAATTTCTCAATTTTTAATTTATTTTAATAATTATAATAAATAAAATTGAAAGTTAAATTTATATAATATTCATTTAAAACTATTTAAAAGTTTATAATTAAATTAATTAATCCTTATTTTAGTTCAGAAACCGAGAAATCAAATTCACAAATATTTAAAATATATTAAAATCTTAATATTAAAATAATATCAATTTCATAAGATCCCCAAAAATTAATTAATCCTAAAATTAGTTCAAAACCCGATAAATCAAATGCTTCATATATAGTATTATTCAAAAGTATTTAAATTAAATTAAAATCCTACCAATATCCAATCTTAATATAAGAATAAAATCAAGTTCATTAGCTTCCCAGACTTTTCAATCTTATAAAACTACATATCACCGCAAAAATATCTATTTTTAGCTTCTCAAATTCAAAGAAGATGCAACAATTAAAGCAAATATATTTGTTTCTAACCAGATTCTTATCTATTTATAGCTCAGATTTCTTCGAAACTGTAACCTCCAGGGTATTTCATAACTCCAAACCCCTAATAGGTATAACTTATCCGTCTACTTTCCTTGTTATCAGTTATGAATTGATAATTCCGGGCTCTGTATGTGCGAGAGAACGTGTCCCACAAATTGTCTAATTTGTTTGCGGTCGCCTTTCGTTTTGTTTGTCTTTTGCTTTGTTGAATTTGCTTGCTAACGAATTAGTCGTGATTCCGATGACTGGGGTCGTCAATTAGGGCCGGTCCAATTGAATTAAAAATTAACCCACTTGTGCCCACAGGCCCTCGAGTTTATTAATCAGTGCACAGGAAGAAACTAGTTTTACAGAAATTTATAAAATGTATTTAAGATTCAAGTGGTACTTTAAAGAGTACTTTGTAATATTACAAAATATGCAGGTTCATAAAATCCACTTTTTAATGGGTTAATCTGTGTCAGCGCTTCCCAGACCTTCAATGTTCCCTGCAAGAATTTGCTGACAGCAGCGGGAAAAAATTATGTTTACGTATCCGGTGGTGCGCAGTTTGTTTATTATTCTCACTTTGCCTTTGGTTTTTGTTGTTGCTTTTGAAAACAGGAAACGTGGTCGCAAACCATCGAAAGATCGCTGGCCGAAAGTACGGCTCAATTTCTGTTTACACCCACAAAGCCGGGCCAGCAAAGTATCAATATACCGCTGAAGAAATTCGGAGAGCCATACTACATCATGGAGCGTGGAACCATTGAGCAAAAGCTGCAAATGCTTTTGGGTTCGCTGGAGAAGGGTGGAAATGACACCTTCAATTGCAAGCAATTGGAGCAGGTAAGTCTAACTTTTTAAAGTTTAAGTTTTAAGATCTAAAATAATTTCTCCAATTTTGTTTTTAGTACATTTACTCGGTCATAATGACCTATGTTCATTTGGAGAGCACTTCCAAGGCATCTGGCATCAAGGAGTGGCAGGATCTTGGCTTCAATACCACTGAGCGTTCCGCCTGCACTTTTGCCAAGGGACTGATGCGAAATCTGGGCAAAGAGCTGGAGCACAATATGCCCAGCGAGGTCTTGGAGCGTTGGCTTCATGTCACTCCCCAGTTCTTGCAGATTTGGCGCGAGGTCTTCAATCAGTTGTATACCCGTCATGGCGGCAGTAAACGCAACATTATTAAGGAAGTGCAAATACCCATTCTGCCGGAATTGTGTGGTAAGAATTACTTGTTTTTTAAGTTATTAACAAAAAGTTTTGTAATAATTTTATTTATATTTTCTAGATGCCCCTCAAAACAGTCACTATCGCCCAATCATCGAACTGCCTCACGTTCTGTATATCAATGCTCAATTGCCCCGCGAGCATAGGCACAAATGGCGCTTCCTTTTCTCATCGAAAATCAACGGAGAAAGCTTTTCAACGATGCTGGGTAAGGTATTAGACAAGGGTCCCACGCTGTTTTTCATCGAGGACGAGGATCAATACATATTTGGCGGCTATGCGTCTGAATCTTGGGCTCTAAAGCCACAATTTGGCGGCGATGACAACTCATTGCTGTACACCTTAAGCCCGGCCATGCGCTGTTTTACAGCGTCAGGCTATAACGATCACTATCAGTATTTGAATTTGAATCAGCAGACAATGCCCAACGGTCTGGTGAGTAATTGTGTTTATAAATAATTGATTGATTGCTAATTGTTTATATGTATTTTTGGTATCCAGGGCATGGGCGGACAATTTGATTTCTGGGGTCTGTGGATTGACTGCATGTTTGGCGATGGACAGAGCGTTGAAAGCTGTACCACATATAGGGATTATGTGCAGTTGAGGTGGGTTTCTACCCTTCAACTTAATAAAGATTATACAAATTTATCACATTTTTTAATAACAGCAAACGCAAACAATTTAAAATACGCAACATGGAGGTATGGGCCGTTGGAGACTTGCCCGTGAAAGATGAGGACGAAGAAGGAGGCGGCGAGGGTCAGGTATTTTACCTCCATTAGTATATTTTAAATATGTATTTTTAACCTCCAACTCTTCCACAGAAACGCTCAGTTCTGGATAGCAATTTGGAGGATCGTGCCATGCTGGAAATTGCCGGCAAGAAAATGCATTCAGATGGTTTACGCGAACCCGGCATGGATGATTGATATTATATGAATATTATCAGAGGAATAACATGGTTCTATCATGTTCAAGAATTTACAATACCATGCCCGTTTTGGGTGTGCAGTTAAAATAATTCAAATTTTTATTATTTTCCCTTAGTCCCTATCAACGAACACACACACACACACAAAAATCAAATCAACAAAGTCCTGCGAACGAACGAAAATGAGTATTTGTTCAATCCATTCCTATAAACGTTTTTGTTTAGCTATTAATATTTCTTAAATATTATATATACAATGTATAATGGATATAGTTTATGTGTAATACTGAGAGTATTGTTGTTGCGTTTTTAAAAAGAGATCGAAAAGTGTGAAAATGAAATCATAAGCAATGTTGAATCGTCGAATTTTCCCCTTTTTATTCCTGCGTCAATAAATGCAAAATATTTGCTGAATTCTAATTTATTTTAAAAGGTTTTTAATGTTTATAGCAATATGACAACCAAAGGGGAGTGGAATTTGGGTAAAAGAATTTAATATTTCTTAAATATAATAATTTTTTCTTAAATTACAGTGCGTTCCGGAATATTAGGACAATTCATTAAAAGAAAATTGCGATTTTTCAAGCAATAAAAAAAAATAATAAACGAGGGTACCCTCAGAATTCCTCCTTTTTGCTTTCGAAAAATTATTTAATTTTAAATATTACTTTTTACGATATTAAAGTTTTTAAGAGGATTGCTTAAAAGGAG